GCTCGATATCCACGCGCTGCTCTCCGTGCCCCTTCGGGCTCCCCTCGAGTCCACGACGTAATCACATACAGCTCTCCGAGCGGAGCGTCTTCTTCACGGACTCCTGCGACGAGTTCATGCCCGAGTGGTTCCACATTGTGAAAGGCGTGATTCATTCCAAATTTCTGCCGCAGAACATAATGTGCCAGACCCCGCAGCAGAACAAAATCATGCGTGTGATCAGGAAACACCTCGTCAAGCACTGCCTAGAACTGTTCGCGGAGATAACCGAGAAGCAGGACGCCTACAACAAGCTCTACGAGCAATTTGGCAAGTGCCTCCGTCTGGACGTGCAGCAGACCCGTGCCGAGGACCGCATCAATGGCGTCTCTCGCTCTCCGTGCACCACCAATGGCCCCACTCCCTACGAAGAGATCTGCGCCGAGCCCGAGCGGCTCCCCGAGGGCAGCATCAAGGGACCCATGGGCTACTACTTGAGACGTGCCCCAACTCCAGCAACTTCGATTCCAAGGCGGACACCATGATGGACTCCACTAACAAAGAGGAGCTGATGTGCTACCACACCTCCACGCTCAGGGACGAGACCAGCCGTCCGAAGGATCGCGAGATTGTTGACACCTGCTACGCTGACACAGGTGCTCCTTCCATGGCCGATTCCATCGACGAGTTCATCCCTGTTGTCATCCACGACGCCATTAACCAGGCTCTCGCTACTGAGATGACTCGCCTTACAGGCACCAGCGAGGATATCGCATGCCTGGCCATCGAGCGCGCGTACGACGCCACCGTCTCTCACCCCTTCTGGGACCAGGTCGGCGCGCTGATGGCTGCCAGCGGTTTGGCAATGGAGCACATCCGCGATCTCGACGAGGAGCAATTTGCACGGACGCACGACGAGCTCGGCGGCAACTCGCAGTCCACTGTCAAGGAGGACGGCAGGGCAGGATGCGATTATCATCGGTCGAAGCTAACCTTTCTGCGTGAGACTGACATTATGCAGATTATGGCGTGCAGCAATCGACATAGTGCCATAGGCGCTAGTGCCCTCCTCCTTGTATAGCCTCTTCCACAATGTTCCGAGGCAGCGCAGCGCAGCCCCCCTGTGCCAGCACCCTCAGAGCGTGGCCCCGCGCGGGGCACCCCGAGAACTACAGGCTCTCTGCGACGGACCGTATATTATTTCTTTAGACCTGCCATCTTTGCAGTTTGGTCCTTACGTCGGGGAAAATCATCATCATCATCATCACCGCCACAACCACCATCACATCCGTAGCCATTTTGGCTCAAACGAGCCTGGCTCACGGGCGCCCTCCGCGCGCGCGCTTGCGTGCGGCAAGCGGTATGTACCCACCTGGCGCGGCCTGGTCGAGGAGCAGATCAAGGACCGTCGCGCGGTCGCTCCGACGGCAGAGGCGTACCGAAAGAGCTCTGACGCGCAGCTCGGCGCTGGTGGCGAGATGCAAGGCGTTTAGACGCCATCCGCGCAGCGAAGCTGGCCTGGGCGTGGAGGAGGCGGAGGGGGCCCGTGCAGCGGCAACTGGTGCAGGCATGCCCCGCCCCCTGGGTCGATTACCATCCCGCCCGAGCCCAGAGGTGCAGCCTCGGTGAAGGAGATCGAGGAGGCTTTGCTGGCAAGCGCGGGCCGGGGCTCGGGCATGGCCCCACGGCAGAGGACCGCCTTGCGGGGGGGTGCGAAGCCTTTCATTCCCGCGACCGTCATCGCCAAGGGCATCGAGTTCGAGGAGTACGAGTACGAGGAACACAAGGACGAGGAGAGCGTGGTGCCACCCCCGCCACCCGGCGGTCCGGAGGACGCTACGACCCGCACGAGAGCGCCGCCGGCTGCCCCGGGCAACGCCGCGGTCGCCGAGCACCTGGCGGCCCACCCCGCGGCGCTCTTCCGAGGGAACCCGCCGCTGCGCTCGGGCGCCGCGCCCTACGTCACGGCCGTGGCTGAACTGGGCGGAGGTGGGCCCGCAGGAGCGCGCGCGCCGCTGCGCCCGGGTGCCGCGCCGTACATCATGTAGCAGGGCCAGACGAGCGGCGCCGATGAGGACGACCTTGAGGAGAACTCCATGTGTGACACGGAATATCTTGCGTTCCCCAGCGGCCTCATCGCCGAGATGGGGGCCGCCAGCGCGGGGGACGCCGAGGAGGTGTTCATCGGCACCGAGACGTTCATCGGGGCGGAGTCCACGTGCGAGGAGCATGCGGACCTACGGGAGCCCGACTGCTTCAGGGCCGAGAGGGATGAGCTCATGGAGTACCAGAGTTGGGTGTGTCAGCCCGCCGCTGCTCTCAAGCGGCCGCGCGTGCCTGCGCGGCCGTTCGTGCGGCGGCGGGCGCATCTCATGCCCGTGGGCACCGACGAGTTCGACAGACAGGAGGCCAAGCGGAGCGACGAGGATGAGTACTTCGGCGCGCGGAAGGACCTCGGCTGCTACGACGGGGAGGGACTTCGACGGCGAGGAGTCCGACATCCCTCCGCCCGCTGGTGAAGGCCAGATCTTCATCGAGCACGTAGACATGGAAGCGATGGCGGCGGTGGCCCGGAGGCAGTACGACTGCGTCGAAGCGCCGTGGGCCATCGGAATGCAGAGGTGGGGTTGCGCGTGTACGATGCGCTCCGCCGCTGATCAGTTAAGGGTGTGACTGCACGGAAACCCTGGGCGGGGGCCCAAAGACTCTTTTTCTTCTCGGTGACAGGCCAACCGCACTTGCGTAAGGTGCAGCAGTTCGGCGGGCGTTGGCGCGTCGGCCTCGACCCACCTTGGGAGAGCGGGATCATCATCACCACCACTGTCATCACCATAATTAGTATCCTTCTTCTCATCATCATTACTGCCGTCACCACCATCATCGTCATCATCATCAGATTAGTCGTCCACCGCCATCCGGCCTCGCCGAGTTCCTCAGTGGCACAGCGCAGTTCGCACGCGGCTCCCCCGCCCAGCCCGGCACACCATACAGGGTTTGTAGCGAGTTAAAGTTCGCATGCGTCAATGAACCGTGCGAACTTTAAAGTTCTATTAAAGTTCGCACGCGTCCCCCCCATGGTAGCTTTACTGAAGGCCCTGATGGCGAACTTCGCATGCGCCCCCCCCCGCCCTCATGTTGGCAGATTCCTCACCCGCTTCGGGGTCTCATTGGGAGCTCCCCCTCCTTCTCCACGCCTGCCCAGCGGTACTCACACTTGCAGATCGTTGGGTCCGTCGCGAGAATCATTTGTCCCCCCCGTGCGCTATCACATTGCGAGAAAGGAGGAGGATGAGGAGGATTCCGGCTTAGCGGTGATGAGGATGATTGGTGATGCTAATCATGATTGTGATTATGATGATGATGAGGGTGGTGGTGATGATAATGATGGCGAACGGTGTTGGTGGTGATGACGATGAAGACGATGGTTGTGATGTTGAGGGTGATGACGATTGCCATGATCGTAATCATGTTTGTGATCAGTACGATGTTGATGATGATTTTGCGGTTGTTGGCCATGATGATAATCATGGTGATGAATGTGGTGGTGGTGGGCGTTGCGACGATGAGGATGGTTATCTTCATGTTCATGACCATGACCGTTTTTATGGTGCGGTTATTAATGAAGCGGATGATGATGTTGGTGTTGTTGGTGGTTATGCCGGTGATGACGATGATGATTGTCATGTTGTTGATGATGCTGGTGATGATACCGATGTTGTTGGTGATAACGGAGGGGATGATGGCGATGCTGATGCGGATGATGATTATGATGTTGTTGATGATGATCATGGCCAAGTGGGATGATTGTGCAGCTGACGATGGTGGTTCTTGCGCACCATGACGATGGTGATGTAGACGGTGATGGTGATGGCGATGTCGAGGAGGGTGATGATGTTGGCGATGATGGTGATGATGAGGATGAGGATGATGATGATGATGATGATGATGATGATGATGATGCTGATTATGATGATGATGATGATGATGATGATGATGATGATGATGATGATGATGATGATGATGATGATGATGATGATGATGATGATGATGATGCGGAGGAGGACGACGGGGAACAGGAGGAGGAGGAGGCCTGTCTTCGGGGTTTCGGGGGGTCGCTTCTTGGGTTCCAGGGATGGCGTGTCTCTTGCTTCCGTGGGTGGTTGCTAGTGCGTGGGGGCTCGTGTGGCTGGCTTTTCCACGGTTCGCGTGTGCGCGTTCTGGGGTTTGTGTCTGGCGTTTCTGGTGGTGGTAGTTCGCCTTAGTTCGCCCCCCCGTAGCGGCGAAGCCCGACCTCCGCTCGCAGGCCTGCGTGGCGCTTACGGGTCCACGCAAGCATGTCGGTGTGTTCGCAGTCAATTGATATCTCCAGGGTCCAGCACGCCACCGCGCATGGCGTTTTACTAGTAGGCGTCACGTAGTATTGCAAAGGTTGGGCATTCTTCCAATGTTGCTACGCCGCAGCCGCCGCCGTCCTCCCCCCCCCATGGCCTCAGGGCAACGTGCGCCCACCCCCGCCCCCCCCGCCGAATCAAAGAACGGCACTGGTAAGAAAATGGGGAGTGTCGAATAGGCAAAATCATTTGAACCCCGAAACCGCGCTACGCTGTCTCAGCTGTTCCTAGAAAGCTGGCTACATTGCCCCCATTCCTCCCTGCTCCTCTTCCCTCGTCACCTTTTCTTCTTCCTCCTCCTCACCCTCAGGCCTTCGCCCTCCGGATCATCCACCCAGCTTCTGGTGCTGCCATATGGGAGAGCATACTGCGAATCACCACCCATACTTCGATCGACGTTGATACGTAGGGGTGGAAGGGGAGAAGACCCGCATTCCCTCCACCTCCGTGGAGGGTCGAGTATAGTCTCCATATCTTGTGTGTGGCGGGGGGAGGGCGGGAATGAGTGGAAGCTGGCGACAGGGAGGAGGAGGAGGAGGAGGAGGGGGAGGAGGAGGAGGAGGAGGAGCATGGCCTGGCCAAGAGGAGAGCAAAGAGCGGACAGAAGCCCACCCGACGCCCCTGGGGCAGGACAACGCCACTGTCTACGCATGGCTGTCCGTCTGGCTGCCGGTGGCCGCGCTGTTCGCTCTCGGCGGGCTCCCGTACGTTATCTGGGGCTTCTGCCTGCGCGTCGTGTGGGTGTGGCACGTCCGCGGGGGGGCTGGGGGGGGGGGGGCGGGGCTTGTAAGAGGGGAAGGGGGGGGTCGGTGACAGGGACGGGGGGTCAGATAATGACAGTGTACCAATACCGCTACCTTCCCCTCTCGTCATCACAGCTGGATTCGCCTCGAAATCCTGGTCAGAGCGCACTTCAGGAGAGGTCTGTGGAGGAGCGGTATGGGTACATTCCCCCCTTTTATTCATTGCCGATTTGTTTGTGAATGACCCGTGGGCGCAGGACGCGGTTGCGCTGAGGTTCCCTTGGGTTGCTTGTTTGTTTTTCTTATTGTGGCGTTCCCCAGGGTTACCTTTTTCTTGTTTATCCACTTCATTCACCAGGGTTGCTTGGTATGTGTTTCGTACTGCATTCCCTGGGATGTTCCGTCCTGTGTCCTCACTGCATTCCCCAGGTTGTTGAGTCTTGTTTCATTGTTTTCATTATCCAGGTCGCCTGGTCTTGTTTCCTTACTGCTTGACTCGGATTGTTTGGCATCGTTCCGTTCTTGCCAAGCGAACCAAAGCAACGCCAAGCAACGCACAGCAAAAGCTGCGTCAAGCAATGCCACGTAATGCAAAGCAACGCCTAGAAGTGTCAAGCAACACCAGCCAACGCCAGGCAATGCCACACAACGCCCAGCAATGCCAAGCAGCACCAAGCAATGAAAAGCAATGCCAAGCAACTCACAGAGGCACCAAGCCAAGCAAAGTACTGTCTTCGTTGCTGAGCTGTTTTGGATCAGTTTTTCTCTAATTGGGGTCGCGCCGGGTTCATTGCGTTTCCCTAGGATTGGGGGGAGGAAAGTTGGGAACGCTCGTGCCTCACTCGGCATCCTGCCCTTCCCGCCCATCTCTCCCCAATGCGCGACGCCCTCGTCTATTCTGCCGACTGGGGTGTTCTCGTTTTATGCACAATCAGAAGGATGGGCGTTGTACGTTGGAGGAGGAGGTGGCGGATGAGCAGGAGGATGAGCAGGACGAAGGGGATGATGAAGAACAGTGATCACGAGGATTTGCAGAACGAGGAGGAGGAGGAATCGGAGGGGGCCTGGACGAAGCTATGGAGCAGGAAGAGGCGGGCAGATGAACAAGGGCAGGAGGAAAAGGAGGAGGACGAGGAGGCATTGCTGCTCCTCCTCCTCCTCTTCCTCCTCCTGATCCCCCTCCTCCTCCTCCTCCTCCTCCTCCTCCTCCTCCTCCTCCTCCTCCTCCTCCCCTTGTCCTGTTGCTCAGGAGCAGGAGGAGGTGCATGAGGCTTTTCCTTCATGTGTTTCTTCCTCCCACTGCCACTGCTCCTCCTGCCGCCCTTCCTTGGAGGAGGATAGCAGGGGAGGACGAGGCCGAGGAGGAGGAGTAGAACGGGGGAGCCAGCAAGGTACAAGACCTCTTCCCGAGGCTGCGACAAGCGCGTCGCCCGTTCTCCTGCGCCGCCGTCCACCTCACAGCCTTTTGGTATCGCCCCCTGTTTCGGGCCACATCTACTTATGACCTCGCGGACCGACTAGTCCTGCAGCCCCGCCTGGCACAAGCGTCTGCGGAGGGCGTGTGCCGACGCGCAGTCACCTCTTCGCGAAGCGAGCGCGCGGGCCCTCTTCACCAGCCACCGCGGCGCCCAGCAGCCAACATTGCACCGAAGGCATAGCCGAAATGCCGACCTACCATCGGCCCTAACACGACTTCGTCGTCACCGAAGCCAGTGGCTGAGCCCAAAGCCCAGCCAGAAGCCGTCGCAGCGGGACTGACGCGCTGAAACCAAGACAACCATCACTGGAATTGGCAGAACAAGCACTAGACCAGAAATATGAAGAAGAAGAAGAACAGCGATCGAAACGGACGTGACAGAGGAGACGTCCACCGGGAACACATCGACACTTCTCGCAACAACTACCAGCAGCTGGCCGACATAAGTCGCATACGTCGTAACCGCGCGCAAGCCAAACGCACGGAGGGATGATAGGCTCCAAAGGTCCCCGAGGGGCGTTGGCGAGTTCTTATCCTCTGGGATGTCAGACACCAGTGGAGGTGGACAGCTAATTTCTCACACGCATTCTTACCCCCGACAAGTGGGGGTCAACGGATTACCTTTGTCATCCTCCTCTAAATGCATTGTGTGGTGTTTCGTTTTTTTTTTTCTCTCTCTCTCTCTCTCTTTCTGTCTCTCTCTCTCTCTCGTTTTCTAGATCTCACTGTATCTCCCTATATCTATCACACACATGAATGTGGTTATTCGTTCATGTTGCTGGGTATATCTCACGTTCTTTCTCTTCCTCTCCACATCTCTGTGTCTCTGTCTATTTTCTCAGTCACCTGTCTCATTACCTCCCGTAGTTGGTGTACACAGTTGTACGTGGACCGTCTCCTGGTGCGCTGGCGCGAGGACTTCAGATAACAGTGACAGCCTTCCGTCCCCAACATCCCAGCCGTCGCAAGAGTAATGGTTCTTCTCCATCGTGTCATACCAGAATGTCGAGCGATCTCGTGTGAACAGTGTAACTAAGCTACTTAGTGGCCCTCGTTGGGTGCGATGCGCAGGTCACTTGGAGCATCAACTCGTTCGGGCACATCTGCGGCTACCAGTCATACCGCAGCGGCGACAATAGTATGAACAACCACCTCCTGGGCATCCTTGGGTTTGGCGATGGCTACCATAATAACCATCTCCGATGCCGGGATTCGTACACATCCACCGCCCAGGGAAGGGGGGGACGTCAAAGGATATTCAGAGGCAGGGGGCGTGGACATATCCGTGCCTTCCCAGGCCCGAGAATGTCCCGATCCACCGCCGCATGGGGCGTCGGGGCGCCTACACCCTGGGCGCTGGATACGCGCAGATCCTGGCCTTGGGCCATCATGCCTTCCCCTCGTCCGCTCGGCACGGCTTCGAGTGGTACGAGACCGACGTGACGTGGTGGGTGTTGTGGTCGCTGAGCAAGGTCGGGCTGGTCTGGAACCTTAGATCCAGGGGAGGCTGCCGCCGTGCCGATTGGGCTCGGGGAGGGGAAACGAGAAAGGCCGAGGAATCGGACGGGGAGGACGAGACGGGAGAGAACGGGGAGAGTGATAGTGAGGAGGACGAACAGGAGAGGGAGGAGAGGCTAACGAGGACGTGAAGGATGATCATGATCATGATGGTGATGTCGGTGGTGTTGTTGATGTTGATGGTGATGATGATGGTGTTGGTGATGAAGACGACGATAATGCTGACGACGATGACGATGACGATGCTGATGATGGTGATGCTGATGATGATAGTGACGGTGATGATGATGATGGTGGTGGTGATGCTGTTTACGACGCTGATGCCGATGGTGATGATGATGATTATGCTAATGATGATGATGATGGTGATGACGATGATGACGATATTGATGATGCTGATGATGATAATGAGGATGATGGTGATGATTCGGACTATTACTATGCCTATGGCCATGACTATGATGATGCTGCTGATGGTGATGGTGATGCTGAAACTGATGGTATTTCGTCGACGAGCATCTTCCTACCCATGCATGCACATCATTTCTTGGCACTTCCCGTTGGGAGCGTCTGAATGTGAGAGGTCTAGCTTGTGGTGATTGAGGGCTTCCTGGTGGCTCCCCCCTTGGAGGGCAGGCATGACATGGTCGCTACCTCGGGATGACTTTGGGACTCTGAAAGGCGAGGAGTCGGGGGTGCCAAAGCCAGCGTGCCCGACATCTGGCCGCGAACGAGCAAGTGCAACACCTTTTGGTGGCTCCTCCTTGGGGTGTCCAAGTGCCACGCTTGCCATATCGCGGCGATCACGGGGCTCTCAAAGCAGAGGTGTTTAGGACTCTAGACGAGCGCCTCGTTCGAAACATCCCGGCAATCTGGGCGCGAACGGGGACGTCCCCTTCCTTGGCGATTCGTGCTAGGGGTGCTCAAGTGCCACGCTTGCTACATCGCATTTATCGTGGGGCACTGAAAGGAGAGGAGTCGGAAGGGCAGAACGATTGACTCGCTCAAGACATCCCCACAATCTGGGCGCGAACGGGACGTTTCTCCCTGCTGGCGTCTCATCCTTGGGGTGCCCAACCTGCTATTTCAAGTTTATCCTGAAATTGACAGAAAAGAGTAGGCAGCGCAGAGCGAGCGCATCGTTAGACACATTCCCACATTCTGGGCGCGAATGGGAACGTGTCTCCCCCCAGACGGCTCCTCCTCAAGGTGCCCAGATGCCACCACTGTTAGATTCTCTTTTTCATGAAGTTGTTAAACGAGAAATGGTCGGAGGTGCAGAACGAACGCTTCGCCTTAGACATTCCCACAATCTAGGCGCGAACGGGGGAGTGCCCCCCCTGGCGGCTTCTCTTTAGGGCGCCCACGTATCTGCGATGTCGCGGTGACCAGGAACCTTTCGTCAGAGGAGCTGGAGGGGCAGGACGAGTGTTTCGTTCGAGACATCCTGGGGTGTCCGGGGACATCCTTGGGGTGCGAACGGGGACATCCTTGGGGTGTCCAAGTGCCGCGCCTGCCTTATCAAGACACACATAAGTCTCTTAGAAGGGATGAGTCTTTGGGGCTGAACGAGCACACCTTGCTTCAGGCATCCCCGGGACCTGGGCGGGAACGGGCAATTGTCCCTCTCCCTGGCTGCTCCTCCGTGGGGTGCCCAAATGTTGCGCCTCATTTTCCGCGGGGATCATGCCGCTGTCAAGAGGAGCGTGTGTAGAACGAGCGCCTCGCCCAAGACATCGCAAGAATCTGGGAGCGAACGGACAAGTACCCTACACCCAGGTGGTGTCTCTCTGGCGTGCCCGAATACAGCGCCTGCTGTACCAATTCGATCGCTCAGCTCTCCACAGGGGTCAGCCAAAGGGCAGACCGAAGACCTCGCTCGAAACATCCCCTATCTGGGCGAACGGGCAAATG